GAATATTGTTTTAATGGTGGTTTTTGGCGTAGATATTTATAATTTCAAAATTTTCAATTATTAATTTTACTGTTGGTGGCTCTGGAAATGTCTTTTATTGTCCATTTTAGATGAGATTCGTTCGAAGAATAAATTACAAAAAAAAAAATTGTGAAATTATGTGTGAAACTTGCATTAACATATTTAAAGTATTTCTACACAATTAAATAAATTTCTGGGCTTTTAAGGCCATAACTGAGTTTTAAAATGAATTACGACTGAATAGTCTTAGTTTTTTAAACATTATTATATTTTATAATAGTTTATTTGAAGATCGCAAATAAATCTTGCAAAGGATTTCGTCCTTTCGGTTTTGCGTATCACAATTTCAGAACAAAATTTTTCGTTAAGAGGCGCAAATGCAATGTTTTTTTTTGTTTGTAAGTACGTATATATGTATGTATATATGTTTCTATGTAAGTAAGAGTATTTGCGAAGTATTTAAGAAGTAAGTTTATTTCAAGTGTTTGCTAATTTTTGGTATGCTTTTCCACTATGTATGTATGTATATTTGTGAAATTGTATATCTGAAGAATGCACATGTTTTACAGTTATTTTAGAATTTTTGTATATTTTTTATGCAAATTAATTGCTTATCTATTATTAAGTGAATATTATAACATAATAAATAAATTTTAATCTAAAATTATTTTAATAAATTTAAGCGCAAAACTCTTCTAACACTACGCCTGTCTAGAAAGAATTAGGTATTATTTCTAAAACTCTTATAAAATATAACCCTTTTCATATACTTTTTAGTTTCTCAGTTCTGCTTTTGCTTTAGTTTCTATTTTTTTTCTAGCTACAGAAACCGTATAATATAGATGTTTTTAGTTTTTCCAATTTTGGTTGACATAAACAAAAATATCTAGGTTCTACGATTGATTTTGGATTATATAAGTCGAGATTACTTGAAACGAATGAAAGAATACCTAAGTGTCTCTAGTGAAACGCTATAAAAAACGAGGCAACGCGACGAGGTAAGACCTCTTCGTTTTTGGTGGCTGGAAGGTAGAGCTAAAGCAGTGCCTGACCTTAAGCCAAAATTAAGCTCATTGTGGCCCCAAATTGTAACCAAAGAAGTTGTGTTCAGAAAGTGAATTTGTCTGATTTTTTCACACAGGCAAGGCTGGATACTCGCAGAGCTAATTTTCTGGCGTATCTTCATCCTCTGCGCATGCTCTGCATTCTGCCGATTGTATTTTTCCAAGTTTCTGAAGGTAGGGTTTTAGAGGTACATGCTCTCTGAGTACCCCCTACAATGTTGCTTATCTCCCTTTCACTTAAAATTATTGGAAGCTTTTCAATCTATTCACTATCAACACTAGCCCAAAGAGCTTGTTCATATTTCTCTCAAATGTTTTTTAGGAAAATATTAATTGAGTTTTGGATATATCGATGGAAAGCTATTTTTATTTCCTTCGTTTCCTGTATAATTAACCCTGCTTAAGCAGTTTTATTGATTGAAAACGTTGAAAGTTATATTCGCACCAAAGGTAGTACATATCCAAAAGTCTGGGAAATGGATTGCTATATCTTCATGGGTCGACGAAGTGTTTCAAGCTTACGATAAATTTGTTAAGGTGTTATATCCAATTGCGAATTTTAAAAAACACATTTTTTATTTGAGAATATTTTTCGATAGTTTGAATTCGGCAAATAAATTCGCTGTTTTAAGTGTATTTGTAAGAATTTTATAACTTCGGCTCCCAAAACACGAAACGTTTTGAGGGTCGATGAGGAAAATTTCTCCGAAACGGCTGGATCGATCGTCTTGAAATTTTCACGAGACCCTCTAAGATCATTATATATTAATTACCGAGTAATGAATGAAGAAATAAAATTTTCGGTAGTAATTTCCAACTTTTAAGCCACCCTGCGGTGTACATTTTTTTCATTTTGAAAAAAATCAAAATTTTGACTAGCACTTTTTTGTTTCCAGTATTCACTTATAGTTAATACATTATTAAGGATTTTGGATTTTAGAGAATTTTAGCTCAAACATTTTCCAGACACCTTTTTTTCGTTGGACTTCCTGAAGATGCGCTACGTGATCAAGCGGATTCGCCGATTATTAAAATGTATTAAATTCTGTAAATCCATATTATTATTTTTATTTATTAATTAAATCTTTTATTACGAAAAAAACCTTTCTTCTAACTTTTAAGTGGATAAAACCCCTTAATGTGGTAAATATCAACTCCAGGCATAGCATAATAAATAAACAATAAATTTGCATTTTTTATAATACTTATGGTATATGCTCTTTTGCTTTCTTTTCCGCCGTTTTCACCCCTAAACGGTTATACAATTCTTTTCGGACTTAATAATCACAAAGCTATTTATATTTGTTTTCTATTATATTCCCGAAAGAAATTCAATAATAATAATTCATTAATTTATCCTTATTTTGATTGCCAGTAGTTTAGTTTTTGTTTTTGCTTTCTTTTAACTATTCATTTCTTGTTCAACAATTTATTTACATAAAAATTATTTGCTTTAATATTATATATTATATATTTAACTTCACGTAGGTTTTTTTATTACCCATTCAACAATTTCTGTCTGTCTTTAACAACAACACTGTGTGACAAATTTATTTTGGCGTATTAAGACTGCCAAGAATGTATACTCGTTCGATAACGGAAAATCTAAAAGACAGCTCTTTGAGGTTAGCTTTGCTATCAAAAAGACATTCGTAAAGACTTATCACGACTTAGGTTCTATGAAAATTCAACCAATCTGATTACTTCTTACATTAGAATAGTTTTTCTAATACTTATTCGATTGAAATTGATTATTGAAGAGTAAAAGTTTTCATCAATAGAAAAGGTTTGGAGTGAAGCTAAACGCTAAAAGTTTGATAATTAAAAGTTCAAGCTTCTGACATGAAAACTTCGCTATAAAAATCAATCTCAGTAGAGCAGATTGTGTCACATTGGCACGTTATCCCGATATCAGTATCTGTGCTTCCCAAAGTCTTTGACGAGCTATCCAGGTTAAGAGCGCTCATACTCTAAAGTTAGATAAGAGCCATTGAGAAATCTTGTTGCTTAGGAATGGATCTACAGCAACTGCTTCTTTCGAAATTTTTATAACTATGATCCGAAGCTATATCGGAAATTTCACCTCTGCCTTTCGATTCTTGTAAACAAGCTGATTTCATAACTTTCTCTTCTAAAATATGCCATTAGCTCAGGAATTAAGAAAATATAGAGTCTTGACAAAGTTTTAGTATCCCGAAATTAGAGAAATATTACAAAATTGGTTGTTGAAATAATGTATGTTTGCTTTGAGTTGACTTTATGAATATACCCATTATTGTTGTTTTTGTGTGGCAGAAAAATTTCCTAAAATTACTTTAAAAATTCCTGTGAAGTTGACGAATCTCCGGATGTAAATCTGGGGTCGTTTCAGTTATCATATGTCGACTGTCGACGCAATATTATACTTAGGAACTGAGTAAAAGCTATACTACAATGAGCAAAAAATAGTAAGACTTTGTTCGTAATTTTAAACTCCTTAATTTATTCCTAAAAATTTTTAACGTGACGCTGTAAATGATTCTGAGGGATTTTTGAACCAATCGTGCTCTAACTTTTCTTAAACCCGAATGATCTTTCAAAATGCTTTTCACTGTATCACATTCTTCTGATATTCCAAAGATGTCAGTAAGATCTCTGACCGTTAATCGTCGATTCTTTAGCAACTATTCCTTTATTTTATTGATGTGTTGATCATCAGTTGTTGCTGATGGTTGTCGTGGACGTGGTTCGTCGTCAACGCGTTCGCGACCCCCTTTGAATAACTTGTACCAATCAAAAACACTTGCTACGTACAATTATTATCACTGTACCGACGTACAATTATTACCGAAAACTTTAATTTGAATAATTTCACTCAAATAATTCGATGAATGGGTTTCCGCACAAAATTTAAATCAAAAACTTGGGTATTTTGTTGCCAGTAGTATAAATAAACAGCGAGAAGAGCAGAGTCGGTCTAGAAATTTCAATCTCAGTTTTTGAGCTATTGCACTGAAATTTTTCACACAGACATTGAACAGCTATTGTACATAGGCGTTACTGGCCACCAGTCCGGAGCTGTATGGAAGCTCAACTGGTAGTAGTTTCGGCTACGAGGTCTGACCGGAGACTTAATTCTGGTACCACGGGGAGCAGGAGCCCTTGGAGGTAACTCCAACCTGCTCATGCGGACTGGCCCCTCGGGGAGTATCGTGGTGGTTGTGGTTTATACCCAAATGCGGGTAGAAGTGGCATTTTGTCTTTTCGATGTGGAGTTGCATTGCAACCGGGTGCCGGACCCATAGTACGGCAGAGGTTTTAGATAGGCCTCGAACCCTACCAAGGTGGTTAGTGTGTCCATTCCACACTGCCAATTGGTACTGAAAGTGCCTGTCATTTTCAGGGCGCTGATCAACGCTTTGATTTGATCCGTTGTACTTTTGAGTACCGTGGAGTAAGGCTGTCGTCAGCAGGTACCCACGTAAAATTTTCCGGTTGTTGTACATAGGCGTCATACAAACAATAAACGAAGTTAATCTTTTTTTCTTGTTTTCTTTACATTTTGAAAAGTCGTCGATCACAGCTTTTGCTCTCAAGAGAAAAACAGTATACAATATTATTACCATTGGTTATTCTCAGAAGTCATTTTTGTCATTTCAAGGATTAAAATCAAAGCTAATCTGGGTGACGAAGTTCGACTAAGCATCTATTGTTCCTCGTTCTTTTTCCGCTCTCCAACGGTTATACAGTTTAGCTGCCTTCAATTGTCGCACAGTGTAATAAATATGTATATTCGCTATTATTATTATTTGTTTAATATTTTTTTGAGTACTTAGCCACATTTACATACACATTGTATCTTAGTACATTAGCATTTTGTATGATATAATATATTTTGCTTGATTTTTCTATTCATAGTTTAGCTACAAACCCGAGTGCATTTGCTACGAATATATATTTATATATTTATGTATGTATATATGTATATATAAATGTAAATACAATGCAATGCCACATACTTTATTCTGAATTCACATTCGCTGCGATCCTAAGGTATAAGTTGCGCTTTTGGACTAGGTGTGATATTTAGATAGTAGGTTGTTTGATAAATATGGTATGAGTATACATATACTATATTTTGGTTGAGTGCTGGATCCATAGTAGGAATATTGTGCGGAAAACCACATATGTACTATATATTAGTTACTATATATGTAAGTATATAGAGAGAGTTATTAGTGAAGTGAGTGAGAAAGAGGGCAGAGAGAAAGAGTATGTTTCTTCATTTATTAGGCAAGTCGCTGAGTAAAAAGACGTTATTAAATATAAAAAAGTTAGAAAAGTAATATAAAATACTGAATTACAAGTCTTATTTGGGGTTATATGCCTAAAAGTATGCATTTAAGGACAACCAGTTTGATTGGACAAATTGTGCGCGTAAAAAGAGAGGAGGAGAGGGCGAACTACAGTGCTTTTATCTTGTTCATTCGGTTTTCTCTTGCGAGTAACAGGAAAAGTCTTAACGCATATGAGTTCTGCAAGAAAGTGGGATTTACTTGCATTCAACAACATTTGCTCAAAAAAAAAAAATCCTTGTTCCTATGAAAATAATTAGATAATACTGTTGCGCTTGGCACGTAAGGCTGTGCTCTGCATGGCCGCCACGACTGCTTCGGCGCCACCCGTAAAGATCGGTTGGTAGGAGGCGCGTCGGAGCACATGCCACATAGCTACGGGTTTGCGTAGCGAAGAGAGCATTTGATGCCAATGTCGTAGTCCCTTACCGGTTGTACAGGCGCCCGCTATCACGTGACCCAGCGGTGTAATACGCGGTCCACCATCGGCAGCTTCGGTTACACCGAAAACGGTGAGACGTAACTGCACGGTGGTGAGGCTTGTTGGTGGCACACTGAAAATCACCGACTCATTGAAGATGGGACTGCTTTCGCGACGTTTGAGTGAAGTGCGCTTCTTGAGCACTTTCTTCTCGTTGTTCATAAGGTAAACCTGTGAAAATTCAATTGTGATATTATTCTCGACATTCAATGATATCACTTAAGCACTTCACACTTACCTTCACGAAAACGCTTTGTACCTGTTGCGGTGTCATCACTTTGCTGCCACCTTCCTTTATTTCCGTTTTTAAATTCCTCGCTTTCACCACGACAATCGTAAGGCGTTCTGCTGTTGGCAAGTAGCTCAGCGAAAACATTAGTTCACCCCATTGTGCATTGCATTTGCGCGAATCGGTTAACGGTATCCATGTGGTGACGGGGCGTGGCATTTCGCCGATTTCCATTTCTGCTTCGCCGATTAGCGTGTGCGCATCACCACTGTGATACAAATGGAACCACAGGGAGTGACGACCTTGTTGCTTCTTTAGCCAAAAATTGAATGTTTCATTGTAGCTGGGCGTGACAGAGTCTTTGAAAACCTGTAAAAAGCATGAAGTAGTAATCGAACTTTGAAATTTTTTACTTCGTAGTATCCTCTATTTCCTAATTCTAAGCAGACTTGGTTCGACATATCGTAATTTTACAGGTTTGACTATTTCTTATAGAAATATAACAGAATATCGAGAATTCGTATAGCAACATTTTACTAGTTCGACACTTGATTCGGTATGAACTTATCGTGAGGTTTGTCCAAATTCTTATGGTGTTGTCGTCATTTTACGAAGCCATTTAAAGGAATAATTGCATTTGGTGACAGAAATTTTCTTCCAAACCAAAGACAATATCAAGGTTATCCTCAGAATAAGTACTTGTGAACTAATAACATAAACACCCATATAAATATGTATTACTCAGCCATTTGTTTGTTTGAACAAATAGCCATTTGTACCCAGTGCCGGAATAGCCACGTAGCAAGAGTAGCAAATTCTACGCGCCCCTCGGATGGGGGGGACCCCGCGCTCCAACTGACCATAAGTAAAAAATATCAATTTAGATGGAGCGTAAAATATCATTGCATGCATTAAACGTGAAGCGCTTAGGCTATGCTTCAGTTCCACTTTCCACCTAAAAATCTAAAACTCGATTTCGTCACGTTAAATCGTAAAAATAAGTAGGCATTTTAGGAACTTCTTAACTTTAATGCTTTATTGTTTAATTATAAATATTATAATCGATATTTTTAAACTAGTATCTATACTAGGTATATTTCTACCCTTCAAGCGTCCAGATTTTTATTTGTTTATAATATCCATTAATTATATCAAAATAAATTTAAATTTCTGCCGAATACCGCTATTGTGAATTTTTATTAATTAAGAAAATATTTTCACTAAATAAAATAAAAAGAAAATCATTATCGAATATTAGATTTTGTATGCTTCATGACCGCCAAAAGAAAGAAGTATATTTATTAAGTTTTTACAATATTTTTATAAAAAATAATTGTTTAACGATATTCTTGTGACCTTCCATATTATAAAAAAACACTATTTTATATATCATAAAACACAGTAATTAAAATGTTCTATCTAGTTATTTCTTTTTCCAAGCGAACGCTGACCTCTTAACAGGGCAAACATTTTTAGTTCAGGCCAGCCTTAAGAGCAAGGTGTGTCAGAGTCTCAAGTCATGTTCTGCCATCTGGACCAGTGGAAAGATTTATTAAGTTCTTGGGCATGGAACGTCATACTGCTAAACAGCTCGCTCAAAGTTTACTAGATTTCTTGAGTGAGAGTGGCATTAATATCAAAGATTGTCGTGGGCAAAGCTATTATAATGCCAGCAACATGAGTGGGAAAAACATCGACATACAAGCTCGATTTAAGAAAACAAATAAGTCTGCAGAATACACTCCCTGTCTTGAAAATTAATTAAATTTGGTTGTTAAGTGCGCTGCAGACTACTGTACAGGAGCATTACTTTTCTTCGATTTCATTGAAAACCTCTATAAATTTCTTTCCGCTTCGAATTTACTTATCTCTCATGATCACAAACCTCAGTGGCGAATGAATTAAGAAACACGGTGGGCAAAGAATGTCTTAGTTGTTTCACTTTGTTGAATATAGGGCATCGAAATTTGCTTATAATAAATTCAGAAAAGTTTATTTGTAACAATTTTGTTTTATATAGTACCCTAAATTTGAGAACCTATAGCAAACCAAGGGCCCCTTGACAAAACTTGCTACAGGTCCCGTGCTAGCTTAATTTGGCACTGTCTGTACCAGGTTTTAAATGGACCCGACGAATTCCAAAATCCAATTGTACTCCACATTTTTAAATGTAACCGAACTCATATCGCCAATAATGCACTAGTTGGTTTTCAACTGGGCAGCTAGAGCTGCTTATTTTACAGCAAACGACTTTTGACATATAGTATCGTCATGGAATTTAAATTTACTAATGCCATAGCCATCTATGGCATACTCGATTGATATTGACATGGTGACTCTCCAATGACGATAGTATTGTCTTTATCTTTAATAAAAAAAAAAAATAGATGTACGATTAATGTTCTGTTATTTGTTATTTGTCAAAGTGATTGAATATAAATATAAAACAATTATGTTCCATATTGAAAAAGTATAAAGTCCCTTTATTTGCTTTAAGTAACAGTATACGACAGTTATCTACAAATTTGAATAAGATTGTTATTATACCATATTTCCATGTTCTTATACTCTAAACAGGCTTTATTAAGTTTGACATGAGCTTTGTAATACTCAGAAGGAAATGTAGGTTGTAAGTGTAAGTACTAATAAATAATCAGCCTGACGAGCTGAGTCGTATGTTTGTATATGCGAGAACGTTTTAAAATTTCACACACCTCCGTTTCTTTCCCAGAAAATTGTTAAAACCACCGATATCGGATGACGATAGGACCGTGATACGTTATAACTAACTTACAAACTGATAGACCAAAATCAAGTTAAAGGTCTTTATCGTCTCGGGCTTATCTGCATTAACAAAACTTTAAATAACTCCGCAACAAAAATAATCAAGCGGTATTAAATCACCCACACTAAAGGCCCAACTTCACTCTGATAATGCATTCACCAAAAGTTCTTTTCAATAAATTGATTGTTTCGTTGGCTGTATGGCGTATACCGCCATCTAGTTAGAACCATAAGTGCACAGTTAGAACCAAAGGTGCACACAACATTATCCAATTCAGGGCCTAAAGTCTTGAATTATGGCACTATTGCACTTCCCATTGACTGTAACATTATAGCCGGCTTCATTTTTGAAGAAATATGAATCAATGATTCCGTTTACTCATAGAGTACACAAAACAATAATTTTTGGAGGATGCAATGACGTCTCGATAGCGTTTAAATTAATCTTTCTCTTGAAATTTTAATTTAGTCTAGCCGACATATACTATATGTACTTACATGAACGTAAATACATTTTATATAATATATTGTTATCTTGTGAAGAGTTGATATTGTTTAGAGACAGGTTTAGAGAAACTGTCGAGCTGTTAGTTTTTTTTTGTTGTGTAAAGGGAGATCCTTGTCGGGATTAGACTATTCTCTAACACTTATATAGAGATCAACGAAAATGTGAAATATTGTCCAGAAGCAACACTATAAAGTGAGGTATGCTATACAGATAGTCTGGTTTATCATGGAAATTGAACAGCGTGTTCCAGCTCTCTGCGTGTCTGATGACGGTTGTAATGTTATGAAGTGCACTAACGTGTATTGTATATAAATATGTATATACATACATATGTAAAGGCATTTTGGACTACTTGCTTGATGACCTCCACCCGTATTTGCTTTATATTTACCACCGTGTTCCCAATGCTTTGGTCAACTTTCGTAAGATTTCAACAGGTTCGTGCTCATTTTATTTTTATTTTTGAATATTTACGTGTGGAGTTCATTTGTTGTATTTTTTACGTAACTAAGTATGTAATCCTCAAAAGCTTAAATGCTATTGTTTAACAAACCCGCTCACCTTCGTCTGCATTGCAGCTGCCTCGTCTGGCACAAGATAAATGCGCACAAAAGTGTCTAACGACTCGACGTTAAAAGGACAAATTAGCCCCTTTGCCTCCAGCACCATAACACTGAGCTCCATGCCCTCGTCGTTAATGGAATTTCTGTGAAATAAAAATGCGCCAAAGTAAATACGAACGTATACAAATATACCTACATATATATATATATATATTTATGTATGTATGTAGATGGGAGTGGTGGCTTGGGGGCAGTGAAAAGTGGACATGAAAAGAGCCACTATATATGTAATTATGCAATGTAAATGTATGTATATAAAATAGCGTATGTATGTGCTTTTGTCAGTTTGTAGTGGCGGCAAAGCAAGCGTAATTAATATTTAACGTGATGGGAAAAAATATGGAATAAAAAACTAGAAATGGCTACTATTTGTTATAAAATATATATATATATATACATATATATATACATATATATATATATATAATACGAGAAATGACCGAGCCCCTGCAGGACATCTCAAAGTATTTACATATTTTTATTGATCTGATGCTACCGTTCTTGTTTTTGGAGATGATAAAAGAAATAATTTCAGAGGAGATTGGGAAATTATATGGGAGCGGGTTGGAAAGGATGCAAAATTTATATGACTAGCGAATAAAGATTTTAGCTTAAAAAGGGAAATGCTGGTTGACTCTTGAACCTCGTTCTGATAAAACTTGCTTAGCGATTTTGTAACTTGTATAATATGGGCTCTCTAAGACAATGTCTCTGTGAGAATGTTACATTATCTTTAGTTTCATTACTAGTTTCATCATTTCACTATTACTTATAGAAACCAAAAGCTGACATTATCTGAGCACTCTTTTAACAGACTGGTGATTTTTTATTAAATTCTCCCAGGACTGTGACAGTGTGTATGACTTCACAGATCATGGTTTCTTTTCGACATGGGTTTCACTGATAACGAATTTGCATAACAATGAACTGTTTTATAAATTGATTAGGCCATTTTATTACATATAGCCTCTATATACATATACATATATTCTATACTCCCACATTTCTCTTCACCATAGGTAGTGAACAATCTGAAAAGCTTATTAAATTTCTTGAACCAAAAGTATTGAACATAAGACTTAAGTAGATCTGCAGATTGAAAAACTATCTTTCGCTTAGCATAATTCCCTATAGACCTATTCCTTAAAGAGTTAGTTTTGTGAATTTTTTTTTTTGAAGATGCATTTTATTTATTGAATAAACACATAATATAGCTCAACAGAATTTCAGGTGCTTTAATAATAGCTTATTTTTTTGGTTTTCTTGATAATAGAGCAGATTTCCAAGAGGACCTCTGAAAAAATATGTTTGACGATGAGGGCGATTTTTGGGCTTAAAATTATTTTGAAACTAAAAACCAAAGTATTATTTTCACTTTAGATGAATATAGGTAATGGTCGTAACACCAGTAAAATTTTTAGAGAAATATGTCTACGAAAATCATATACAAATTTCCATCTGATCGACCAGCCGGTTCCTAGAAAATTTCCTCAGCGACTCTGAAAACGGCGTTTAGTAAAAAACACTTATAATGCCTTAGAAGCTGATTACATTTAGTTAAAAAATGCTTACGAATACCCACATATCTCCGAAACTATTTGCGATATAAATAACTGTATATTCGATATATTATATATGAAAAACAAACAAATAGATATTTGAAATTCATAATAAAATAATATAATCTCTTAAGCTAAGGCTACTACCGTGAGCAAAAAATAGTAAGACTTTTACTTTATACGCATGTCTTTATGAAGTATATATCCAACAAAGAAGCTCCATTAAATTTTGTGTGCGGAATCAAATTTATGGTATCAGAGCGTTCAGAATGTTGAAAAAGTTGATAATTGTTTGTCGGGAAAAGTGTTTTTGATTGGTACAAATTGTTCAAAGAGGGTCGAGAAGGTGTTGACAACGAACTACGTCCAGAACATCAATTGACGATAATCAATCAAAATAAAGGAATTGGCGCTAGAGAGAGAAATAGTCAGAGATCTTACTTGGTAGTTGGGTGAATGTCTGTGAAACAATGCTTTCCGATTACCAGGATGTCATGAAACGTATTATTACTGGCGCTGAGTCTTGGATCTATGTTTAAGATCTGGAAAAAGACGATCAGTCGGTCGGAGATTGTGGCAAAGCTGAGTCGATGCCGAGAAAAGCATCAAAACAGGTCAAAAATCAAGGTTATGTCGACAGTTTTCTTTGATTATCGAAGTGTGGGGAGCTTCGAATTCCTTCCGATCGGCCAAAATGTCAACAGGGAATACTACCTGTGTGTTATGCGTCGGTTTTGCGAGCTATTCGTAAAAAGTGGCGGGAAATATGGGCGGATAACTCTTGGTTTTTGGCCGTCGCATACTGCATTCATTCTTCGTGAGTCTTTCCCTAAATTTTCAACCAATATCGTGCCGTACCACCATATGCACTTGACTTAGTGACTTCTGGCTCTTTAGCAAACTCAAACGACTGCTTCTGAGAAACTTTTTTGAGTCCATTGAACCCACTAAACGTGAATCGCTTTGCGCATTGAGGGTTATTCCGGAAATTGACTTGAAAACGTTGGTACAAGTGTAATGTGGCCAAGAGGTATTAATTTGAAAGGACGATGTAGATTTTGAAAAATAAATTAAGAATATTAAAATTATGAACAATGTCTTACTATTTTTTCCCCATAGTAGTAAGTCAAAGCAGGAGAAAAAAAAAGTTTTAATTATTTTTTATGTTTTTTTTTTTTTTATAAAATTTTAAGTACTTGCCCTATGTTCACAGCCAAAAAATTTCTTTAGGGTATTATGTAAATAGATACACATATGTATGTATGTATAAGGCTCAAGTTGTGCTTGGTTAGAATATAATAACAAAGCTATAGAAAATAGTAACAGAATACACTCGCAACAACAAAGATAACATTTGCAACAAAAATAATGCAGCATATGATGCGGGTGAATGCACATTGCACACTTGAAAGGTTGTTAGCACATAAAACCTAAGTGCCGTAACCCCTCCACAGCGCATACGTCTACCTATATGTACAATGTGGAATGGAGAACAAAGGTTGCCAGATGCGCTTGTCCATATGCGCAAGCTTATTAATGTAACTACATGTGGTTGTGTATGTGTTGTGTTGGTGGCGAGCATCCTAATGCGGCTAACTCAAGTACACTTACACTTGCCTAAAGCACACATTGGTTTTTGTCTTGTTGTCTTTATAACAGTGGAATTGTGTTTCTTACTTTTAATCCACCTTCCTCCCCGCAAAGCTAAAAACTCACTTGTCATATTGCAAGCCGACACACAAGTAGCCGGTTATCTGTGTATACGGTTGATCCAACTCGCCGACAAATACCGATGAGGTGTCCGAGTTCACCGAGTCACATGAGATGGCTCGCTCCAAGTTGATGCCCTCCATCGAACCAGAGGTCGTCGAATCGAGCGAACATTGTGAGCTATTGCGTCGGCCAAGGCTCATTAGGGAATCTTGACGCAACAATGAACGGCCAAAGGTCCAGGTGGTATTGCCATTGCCACTCGTGTTCGGTGTGCCATGGGCTGTTGTCTGCACGTTATGGGTCGCACCTGCGTTCACACCGAGTTTGCGGAAGAGAAAGTCTTCGGAAATAGTTTTCTGTAGCATGTGTGGCCCCTTTTGTACGCGCTGCGTCAAGCCGGTAAAGGGATTGGTGGAGTTTTGCGTTAGTCGCCGCAGTCCACTTGAAAGTGACTTGAGTTCGGAGTCTTTCGCCGACGCCTCTGTGGTGGAAAATGAGCGATTACGGAATTCTTGAAATTGTTGTTGTAGTGATTTCGCGCTTAATGCTGTGGGGGTTGTGCTATTGGCGTCAACCGCTATCGCGTCTGTTGCACGAGGCGCTGACTCGCTGTAGAAGGGATTACACGAACCATTCATGTTTGTTGTTGTTGGTGATGGAGCTTCGCTGCAGCCGTGGCTAATGTGTCCGTTTAAATTGTTATTGTTGCTATTGTTGTTGTCAATATTTTGCGTGCTTGCGTTTGTGTAGAATTGTGTTGATTGTTGTTGTTGTAAGGCAGTGTTTGATTCCGGTAAGCTCTCAGCGGATTCACATAGAAAGGGATTTGTGCTGGAATTACGACGTTTTAACGTCTTCGGATGATTGTGATTATGTTGGTCATTTGTGTTCGCTTGTGTCGTTGTTGTTATAGTTGTAGTTGTTGAGGATAAAGCTTCAGTTTCCTGTATTGTAGTTGGAGTTGTGACTGCGTCCACGACATGTCCACCCATGACCGAGGCACCGTTACCGACATTTTGCAATGAAACCTGCCTCTTGGCCACCGGTCGTGGTATGGCGCTGGCGCTCAATGCAGACGATGAAGCCGACAGCCGTGGTGGCGGGGGCGCATCAAGCGGTTTCGGTATGGCCGCGTTCGTGCATTTCATCGAAGAACGCTTGTATGGCGTATCTCCACCATTGCTGCGTCCTGGTGCGCCGGTTTCATGGTTCGGCGTTGTCTCACTGATTTGTTGAAATGAAAATGTCACTGTCTTTATATGTCCGGCACTTGCTGGAGGCTGTGTGCCCGGTGCTGGCGCTGGTCGCAGTGGTTGTGGCGGTATGTTGGCGTCTACCTCCGCCTCGCCAGCTAGGTTCCAAAGCGGTGTGGTTGCATGCTGTGTTGGCTGTTGGCCCGACTGTCGGTAGTCGTCCTTGTCGATGGTGTCAAAACGTTTAAAGCTACCGCTATTGCTGAGCAAAAATTCCGAACCCGAATGGATCTGGTATTAATTCAAAATAATTTTTTACTAATGATTATACATATGTATATATAAATTTATTCAGCACAGGTATCTGGTACTTCCACTCACCATGTAACCATTCGCATGAAATAGTTTATTTTTCGATAGTCCTATCTTCTCTTCCTTATTCGAACGCATCCAAGTATTTGCACGCGGTCCCAAACAATGGCAGGCAAACATTACGAATGCTATCACCAACAGCAGTAGCAGCGCCAGAGTGGTGAATGACATCGGTTCGCCATCCATTGTTATTGCGTATCGCTTGTTTGCATGTGCTCATTCGATGCTTCAACTATCAACCAAAAGTGATGTATGCTGCAAATAGAAGTAAATGAAACGTAGTTTTAACAAAAGTTATATGGGTGATCTAAGTAGAGCTCCTTTTTTCAATATGGACTCGTGAAAAGTTAAAGACTTTTTCGAGCCAAATTTTGATCAGCGATGAGGCCGTTGTGAGATCGACCTAGAAAGATTAAAGAGTTGCCGTTTCATCTACAAAAAAACAAAAACAACGGTGGTTTGTGGGTCAGTGGAATCATCGCGATGTCGGCGACATTTAGTTTCAAACATCGCCACTTGCCAAACATCGCATCAATCAATGGATTTATTGAAATAACACTTCGGTAAGCAGATAATTTCACGTTTCGGGCCGATCGATTGGCCACCAAGATTATACGATACGGATATCACACCGTTAGACCTTTTGCAGTAAGGATATGTGTTTATATTCTCGCAACAAAGTTGCTAAAGCGAGTATTATAGTTTTGTTCACATAACGGTTGTTTGTAAGTCCCAAAACTAAAAGAGTCATAGGGTTATGTATACCGAAGTGATCAGGGTGACGAGTAGAGTTGAAATCCGGATGTCTGTCTGTCCGTCTGTAAAAATCATGATGAAACTTGGTACACGTATTTCTTGGCTCCATAAGAGGGTTAAGTTCGAAGATGGGCAAAATCSRCCCACTGCCACGCTCACAAAATGGCGGAAACCGAAAACCTATAAAGTGTCATAACTAAGCCATAAATAAAGATATTAAAATGAAATATGGCACAAAGGATCGCGTTAGGGAGGGACATATTTGGACATAAGTTTTTTGGAAAAGTGGGCGTGGCCCCGCCCCCTACTAACTTTTTTGTACATATCTCGAAATCTACTATAGCTAAGTCAACGAAACTGTATAGAGTTGTTTCCTTTAGGCATTTCCATATACAGTTCAAAAATGGAAATCGGATAATAACCACGCCCACCTCCCATACAAAGGTTATGTTGAAAATCACTAAAAGTGCGTTAACCGACTAACAAAAGACGTCAGAAACACTAAGTTTTATAGAAGAAATATCAAGAGGAAGCTGCATCCAGGCTTTTTTTAAATTGAAAATAGGCGTGGCGTCGCCCACTTATGGACAGAAAACCATATCTCAGG